GGCGTGGCTCAGTGGTGGAGCCCCTGCCTAGAATCCCCAGTGAGGGGCTGGGGGCGTGGCTCAGTGGTGGAGCCCCTGCCTAGAATCCCCAGTGAGGGGCTGGGGGCGTGGCTCAGTGGTGGAGCCCCTGCCTAGAATCCCCAGTGAGGGGCTGGGGGCGTGGCTCAGTGGTGGAGCCCCTGCCTAGAATCCCCCAGTGAGGGGCTGGGGGCGTGGCTCAGTGGTGAAGCCCCTGCCTTTTTCATCTGCAGTATTGTTCTTGAGAAATGCAGAACACTCTGGCCTGAAACTCAGAGTCCTCACCTCAGTCTCCTCAGTGCTGAGATCACAGATGCACAACCACACTAGACAACCATTCTGCTTTTGGACTCCTTGCTTGTTATTGCGTGGCCTAGTGCTAGAGTATTTGCCTAACCCATCTGTGTCTCCACACATGACAAAAACAAAGACTAGCAAAACACCAGAGACTAGATGAACGGCCCAGCGTCAGTCCCTCTACCCACATGTGTGTTGGATGGGGTGCTGTGCCACGGCCTGTTCTGTAGTTCCTATGATGACGCTGTGTGGCGTGAGTCATGTTCTTGTCCCTTTCCTGGGACCCTCCTGGGTGTATGTAGCTGCAGGCGACTGCACCACACTTTGGTATCAATGGCTCCATGCCCGTGGACCAGTAGTTGGGACTCTGTGACCCTGAAGTCCTGGAAAGTTCCTGGGAAGTTAGCAGCTGGAGATTAGATTGCATGAATCATGAGACCGGAAGGAGGGACCAAGAGCTGAGCCTGACCTGGGGCAGGTGAGAGTCTCAGAATCATGCTAAGATTAGTGGTGACACTGCAGCTGACCCAGCAGACCCCAGGCCTTAAGCTCTGCACATTTACACACATGATTTCATACTTAACTGATATTTTCTATTAGGTATCCACATATACTTATAAATAACAATGATGTGGCTGGTTTGTAGTGTTTTAGACTCATTATAAATGACTTTATCGATCAGTCTTATCATCTATGATCCCATTGAGGGCAAGAAGCAGCCAAAGCTCAGAAAGATAAGTGCACCCGCCCAAAGTCACTCAGCAAGCACTTAGCAGAGTCCAGGTTTAAGCTCCAGGCTGCGGAGATAGCACAGTGGGTAGAGCGCTTGCCCTGCGAGCCTGAGGATGGGGTCGCGGCGGTGCGTGCTATAATCTCAGTGCTGGGGAGGCAGGCACAGGAGAAAGGAGAAGCCGGGCTCATTGTGCTCTCATGGGGCTCACCCACCCACTTACTCCTTGCACTGGAATTCTGAAATAGGTCCCATCCCCGTGAGGTGCAGCGGCTTGAAAGAGCTGGGGTTCGGACCCAGGTGATCTGGATCCCCGGGCAATTCTGCTACATGCTTTTTATAAATGTTATTTATTATTACCATGTGCATGATGGCCGGGGTGGAGAGGTCACAGGAGATTGTCATGCAGTCAGTAATCTTCCACTTCTAAGTAGGTTACAGGTTCTGAGCTCAGGCTGTCAAGCTTGTGTGGCAAGCACTTTCACCCACTGAGCCATCCTGGCAACCACCGTGCTTTCTGTTTTGTGTGTGTGTGTGTGTGTGTGTGTGTGTGTGTGTATTTATAGTGTGTGAGCGTTCATGTGTTTGCACATGTGTATGTGGACATGTAAAGATCAGAGTTTAACATTCAACATCAGGTGTCTTTCTCAATTGCTATTTATTTATTTATTTATTTAATTTGAGACAGGGTTTCTCCGTGTAGCTCTGACTGTCCTGGCACTCGCTCTGTAGACCAGGCTGGCCTTGAACTCAGAGATCCACCTGCCTCTGCCTCCGGAGTGCTGTGCTGGGATTAAAGGCGTGTACCATCACTCTCAGCTCTCCACTTATATTTTAGTTTTAAAAAATCGGAATCATTTTGCTCTACATGAAAGGGCACACCACATGTTTATCTAGTGCCTATGAAAACCGGAAGAGGGTGTTGGATCCGATGGAGTGGAGTTAGTGGGTGCTGGAATCGAACCCAGGTGCTCTTAACTGCTGAGACCTTCTTCCAGCCCCTGTCCACTTATTTTTGAGACAGGGTCTTTCTGGCACCTGGAGGTCACCAGTTCTCTTGAGAGCCTGCTGGAGAGCCCTGGGCTCTGCCTGTCTGCTTGCCCAGCACTGGCTCACACAGCTGTACTTTCACACACTTGGCTTTTTATGTTGGTGCTGGGATCTGAACTCAGGTCCTCATATTTATGTATGAGCACTTTAACGACAGAACCACCTTCCCAGACCCCAGATTTTCTTTGCATACTTGGTAGTGCTACAGATGAGCTCCCCAGCTAGG